AGAAAAATTCGAGGGAATATAGGTTAAAACAGATTATAAATCTTTAAACACATATCTTTATAGTGAGATCTTCGGGGAGAAATATTTTTTCCGTCAAAACGCACACAAAAGCTTGGGAAATGTCGCGATATAAAATTGCTATTTGCGAACGATGAATTGCGAGTCGAGGAAAGGACTTTGATCGATAGTTAATTTTCATTTCGGGCGGTGAATTTCCATATGTAAATTTTATTCCCACAAATTTCATTGTGATTTCCGTAGATTTTCTTCGAAGGAAGTTTAATCAATAAGACGGAAGCATCTTGTTGATTCACTTCACAACTTGATGAATCACTTCACAACAAGACGTGCCAAGACCGCACAAATTACGTCAGTTCAAAACATGTCGTGTCAGTTCACGTGGACACGAATCATTTCACATTTAGTTGAATCATTTCACATGGACGCGAATCATTTCACATTTAGATGAATCATTTCACATTTAGTTGAATCATTTCACATCTTGTTGAATCATTTCACATCTTGTTGAATCATTTCACATTTAGTTGAATGATTTCACATTTAGTTGAGTGATTTCACATGGTATTGAATCGTGTCACATCTAGTTGAACGATGTCGCATTTAACTGAGTCATTTCACATTTCATTGAGTCGTTTCACATTTAGTTTATTTATTCCACATAAGGTTGAATCACGTCCCATCTAGTTGAATCATTTCGTATTTAGTTGAGCTATTTTAAAACACAGCAGATGGTTCTAAAAAAGCATGAATTATTTGCCAACCGAACGTGTCACTTGTATACGACCTGCTAAGTCATTGCAAAATATGCCAAGCCATTTCACTTGAACTTTATGAATCAGCGCAATAATAGACGAATGAATACACAATCAAGTGAATCATTTCAATTTTAAACAAATCATTTCTGGTCTTGTCCAGTCATATCACTACGTTAGGTTCAAGCATTTCTAAACATGATGACTCGTTCGTGTTTGTAATGAATGATTTCTGTTTATGTCCATTCATTTCACACGTGTAGTATTTTTGGTGGTAACGGCCGCCCATAAGCTTGATAGCTCTTGGGTAAACGTCTATTTTTGAAAAATATATGTTTATACAAAAAGTAAGATTTAATAAATAAATAATGCTGTGCCTTAACATATGTAAACGTTTTAAGCAGGTACGAAACCGCAACCAAAAATGTTGACGTGAAACAACATGGAGCTAAAACCAACGATGCCGTAAATTTTGAGTGATATGCATTCGGAACTCACCCCCTTACATAAACTCTGTCACAATTGTCCGATAAATATCCACATTGTCACTCCACTATATGGGGTTCCTAGATTACAACTTAAAATATAGGCGCAAAATATAACTGCTTTGTTCGTAATTGTTAGGCAATAATATTAAAACCCTATCAAGATATTAATAATTTTCAACAGGTTCCTCGCCGCAAACACAATCAAATAGTGTAACAACTACAGCAGTAGTAATACAACATAAATTATGTGATTATAAAACTAGAGAGTTGGCGATTTTTGTCCTTCAACACTGGCACTGCGTCGACAAAATGTCTGCCAAAGTCACTGCAGGTTTATGTATCCTTTGGCAATGTTTCCATCTATCAAGTTGTAGTATTGCACACATGAAGTATTCAAAATTGAAAGCGATAAATTGGGGTCTACCTCTTGCTGGACACAAATTTAATGTAACACCAATAGCAACGAGCAGAGTAACAAATCATATCAAGTGTATGGCTCACTGCGCAAAAACTGAGGGATGTGTTGCTATAAATCTTGGTCCCGCACAAGCCGGAGAGCACGAGTGTGAAATGTTCGAAACAACACGATATTCAATATTTAATGCAAAATTCACTGCGAAAGCTGGCTGGAAATACATTGGACCTAAGGTAATGATAATCTCACTGTTAACAGATCGAGCAATCTGCAGTATTTGTTTTATAGAATAGTAATTCCCCTTATAATGGACGCTAGAACTCAGAAATTTATTAAATTTATATTTACTAGACAAAATGTGACGTTAATCCATGTCGTAAAGGATTTTGGTGCATTGCCCAAGAATATGAAACTGGTTACACATGCTTAGATCCCGTTGGAGGTGAAGTAATAAATATTAATAGTAATAATAGTAACGTTTCAATTGGCAAATAAAATAAACGGGCCAGTTTCAACAGCTATCCAAAGTGACCAAATAAGTTTATTTTTCAAGATCAAATTGAGATTCATATACACCATTATATTAATTGATTTTTCCTCAATTCCTCAACTTTTATGAGACACTGTCACAGATGTAAACAAATTAAATTCCTTTTGAACTCTGTTAATTTGTTCAATGCAAGGTTTACATGTAACATGTCACAGCGGCAATATAGTTAGTACTGCAGTGCCGTAGCAAGCTCGATAATTGGGGGGGGGGGCTCATATTCATATATTCGTGTTCTGCGTTATTAATTTCTTTTGAAATCGATTGTGTTTATGGTCTGTGAACAAGAATATATGAATATGAGCCCCCCCCCCCAATTATCGAGCTTGAGTAGTATGGCATTGGCAACAGACATTCCTTCAACTAAACTCTAGATCATGCCAATTTCTGACGCAGGCAAGTAGTTCATTTAAATTAACCTCTCACCAATAACACAAAGCAAATTAAACGTAGCCTGATTATTATGAGCAAGACACACAACTCGCTACTTTGAAAATCATGTATATTCATCATAATGTAATGCCTATTCAGTGGCGTAGCCAACAGGATGTGGGAGAGGTGACGGGGGAGGGCGGAGACTCGCAAATTAATTACTAGCCTCACAAAATCAATTTCTTGTGGTGCCACTGGGCCTATATTGATCATATTTCCGTACTATTTACAACATCTGCTGAATTTTGATGTTTCCGTGTGACCAGGGCCGGATTAACGTTCCGCGGGGCCCGTGGCATATTTGATTGGAGCGGGGCCCCTTGATCCCCTCCCCAACGGCATTTTAGACCCTGAATTCAGTAAGATTAAAAAATATCCTTTTGTATTTCATGCGTTGAAAAGTTTCCTGTATACATCAATAATTATACATCAATAATTTGATCGAACTGAATTTCAACCCAATTTATACCATTAAGTTGAGTCCGCATTAACATTATTATTATTTACAGAGGGTCCATATCAACTTCTGCCGTCTTCCACGAAATTTAGCGATCTTTTAATTAGTATTTAACAGCTTGCCGCAAATTTTCAAATCATTTCTGAACCCCATTATTTTCTGGCCTCGCGATCGCTTTTTGGAGCCCCTTGCTCATAGAAGGAACAAAAAATTTTGTTTGCGGCCTGCTTTTGGAGCCTTCGCTTTTTAAACTTTGGGGCCTCGACGATTTTTTAGTTTGGGGTTTCGCTTTTAGGGACCTTGGACTCTTTGGGGCCCCGCATTAATTGTTTGGATCACGCGCTAAAACAGGGAACAAAATAATCGTTCGGGGCCCCGCACTTTGGGGCCTCGATTTTTAAATTTTGGGGGCTTTAACGTTTTCTAAGGACCTTGGGCACTTTGGGGCCCCGCGCTGAAACACTAAAACAGCGAACAAAAAAAAAAGTTTGGGGCCGTTTTCCGGGGGACTTGGGCTCTTTGGGGCCCGCACTAGCGCACTGTTTGGGCCCCGCGCTGAAACAAGGAAGAAAAAATTCAGGAAAAAAAAAAAAAAAAAAAAGC